CATCACACCTTGAAGAGAGCTTCACCTACTTTTAAAAAGAGGCTCTATTTTCAAGGTGTGATGTAGGGGGTGATTTGGCCACCTCACTATCAATTCAATGAAAAGAAATTGGTACCAAGTTTCTCCATTATTTTCTCTCTCCTATAATATATATGATATATATATATATATAGTATATATATATTATAATATATATATATATAATAATATAATTATATATATATATATATATATATATATATATATATATATATATTATATATATATATATAATATATATATATATATTATATATATAATATATATATATATATATATATATAATATAATAATATATATAAATATACACACACACACACACACATCACACACACACAATTTAGTTTTGGTCTCCATGTATATATAGTTTCATATATACATATATGTTTGGTTCTATGTGTATAAATATATTATATAAAATATATATATATATATATATATATATATATATATATATATACATAGTTTGAGTTTTCATGTTCATAAATATGAAATCACATATTTCATATTTATTATTATGTTTTAGAAAATATTGCATAGAATATGCATATTTGTGAAAATATTGTGTTTCTAGTTTATAGACTTCATAACAATAATTTACATATTTCTTTAAGTCTATAAAATCATTTTGTAGAGTTTCAAAAGTTTGTTTAAGTCAAATGTCAAAAGCATGTATGTTTAGTTTTCATGTTTTTGGACTATTTTGAAAAATAATGATATTTTATATTTGGGAAGTCCTTTTTAAAAACCAGTTTTTGTAACATGTTTATTATCATTTTTACAATCATTTCCTAAAGTTTTATATTTTTTGGAATTTACTTGATATTTTTAAACCCAGTTTAAAGTTGAGTTTTTCTTGCATTTCAGATCTGTGCACGTTTAGTCGACTCATTAGTCAACTCATGAGTCGACTCATAAGTTGACTCATAAGTCAACTCACGAAGTGCAGTGGAGTTGTGATTTTTTATCTGCTGAGTCGACTCATATAAGTCGACTCATAAGTCGACTTATCAGAGAGCCGTTGCACAGTAACGGCTACTTTCCAGCAGTGTTTTCTGGGGGCTTTTTTTAGTCTTTTTCTTGGGGTTTTTGCTAAAGTTTTGGGTTCCTATAAATACTCCATTGCTCACATTTTTCAGTTGATCCAAGAGAATATTTTAACAAAGTTTTAACAAGGGTTTAAGTTTTGTTTAGTGTTTGTTTAAAAAGCTTATAAGCAATTGAGAGTTTGTTTTGTGAAAACAATTTCACAAGGGCTTGAGGAAGATCATTCATCGGTGTTTGAGCATCCAACTCTTCTCCCTCTCTCTCTTGATCTATAGAGAATTTTTTTTTAAACTCAATTCTAGCATTTTATATGTTTGATCTTAATTTTATAAGCTAGATTTCATGTTGAGTTTAAATTGCGTTTATTGAATCTCTTTGTTTACACACAACCATTGAGCTTATTGTATTTATATTCATAGTATATTTGGGTTGTGGGATTGTGACATTGAGTGTGAGCTTATACTGTGTTCTCATCCATATTAGAGAACAAATCATTTGTTGTGAGCCTTAATTGTGAGGAACACTTTGTAATACACTAGTACACCAAGAGGAGTGTGTGGTGAGGACGGAGTCGATACCGAGAGGAGTGGCGTCGGTGGCCTAGTGAGAGGTGATAATTCCGAGCACTTGAGGGAGTCGATACGTGAGGACCAACACTTGAGGTGGTAGTTAGTGTAGTTACATTTTGATTGTGAACGTTAATCGATGAGCGTTGAAAACCGATATTGTATGGTGTAAACGTTTTTGGGTGATCGTTGAAAACCCGGTGTGATAGTGGATTTCTCTCCGGGAGTAGGGAGCGGAGACGTAGAACGGGAGGTTCGAACTCCGTGATCATATTGCTTGTTTGAGTTTAGCTTGGCACACTTATATTTGTGAACATCTTTATTGCCACTCTCATTGTTTATTTCATCCACTATATTGTTTATATCTTGTTTCACCATTGTGTTAGTTTCATATCCTTGCATAGTTATCTTGTTACATATCATATTTGTTAGGATATTTGTTAGTAAGTTTTAATTGGCTTTTAAATCGGATTAGATTAGCATAAACCCTATTCACCCCCTCTAGGGTTCTTTCGTAGCGACCTTAGAGTCTAACAAGTGTGGTCAGCAGATTCATGGCGAATCCGGGAAAGGTGCATTGGGAAGCTGTGAAGTGGGTCCTGAGGTACTTGAAGGGTACCGTTGATATGGGTCTGTGTTTTGGTAGAGATACACGTCAGATTGATGGGTTTGTAGACTCAGATTATGCGGACGATCTAAACAGACGACGATCCACTATTGGTTATGTATTCAGTATACATGATGCTCCGGTTAGTTGGCGATTGATGTTACAGGCTACAGTGACACTTTCTACTACAGAGGCTGAGTACATGGCCATGACAGAGGGAGTGAAGGAAGCATTGTGGTTGTGGGGTCTGTTAGACAATTTAGGGTTTGAGCAGGATAGCGTGAACTTGTGGTGCGATAGTCATAGTGCGATTCATCTGGCTAAGAATCAAGTTCATCATGCTCGTACCAAGCATATCGACGTCAGGTATCATTTTGTGCGAGATGTCATAGAGGAAGGTGATATTTCTCTCATGAAGGTGCACACGAATGAGAACCCAGCAGACATATTAACCAAGGTGGTGACTAGCAGCAAGTTTCTGCATTGTCTGGACTTGCTTTATATCAACCCGTGTTGATCTGCCCAAGAGGGCAACATCAGAACTACGGTTAGCTTGATCCCGGTGGAGGGTACGTAGGCAGCCGCGGTATAGTGGCGCAGTTGGTTTGGTCTGTTTTTGGGCATGGTTTGGCGCTCGTGGTGTTCTTATGGTGTTCGTCCAAAATTTGATGTTTATCAAATGATGGACGAGGTGGAGAATTGAAGGATCGCACCTGGCAGACGAAGTCAAACTCGCCTGTTGGCGAGCAGGTGCAGGCGACTTCGAGCTCGCCTTTAGGCGAGGCTTGGACAGGCGGAGTTGGGAGGCGAAGTCGGTCTCGCCTGTAGGCGTTGATCTTGCATGTCGTGTGCGCGGGGCTCGAGGTGCTCGCGGCCTATCGTGTGCGCGGGGATCGAGGTGCTCGCGCGACGTGGATGAGAACCAACCGGCTCCAGCTGGATGGACCAGCTTCGTGCTCCCCATCGGGCGAGCGAGCAGAGAGAGGGGGAAAAGGAGCAGCGACGACAAAATTTATTCCCTTCTGCGGTTTTCTGTCTCTCTCTCCCATTTGTTTCCCATTTGTCCTGTAGCTCTCTTGGTGGAGAAGGGGGTTGGTGATATTTATTTGGGGAAGTAATTAAGAGAGAGTTTGAGAGTTTGAGCAGTGATTTTATATTAAAATCACTTGCTATTTGTTTGAGAGATCTCAAGTTTGAGATCCTCTCTCTTAATTGTAATTTCTTATGGTTGAATAAGAAATTATTGTGCTGCTCCCGTGGACGTAGGCAAGTTTGCCGAATCACGTATATCTGTTGTCTCATCTCATTTACTTACTGTTTTATTTGTGTATTCGTCATTGCTTGTATTGGTTAGTTTGAGCCTGGCTTAAACTCGAGCTAGGATTGGTTTCTCTCGGGATTAATTAGCTTCTGCGGGGGTGTGGGCGTCTTCGCTCCCAACACATGCCATGCCTACACCCTCGTATTTTTTTCTTAGAGAAGATAAGAGATATTCACAACAGAGAACAACATTCATACAAAATCTAAAAAGCAAATCAATTATGTAAAATGAACGAACAAAAATAAATAAGTCATTTATGGCTTTATCGAAGAAATAAATCATATATCGTTTTTGTTTGAATAAAAAGAACAAGAAATAGATAAAATCTTGGAAATGGTTTGCATGCAAACACGAACAAAGGCTAGGTCAACCCATTATTCATTAGGATTCATTACCTTTTAGATAATGACCACTACGAGCTTCAAATTACTTCTGTGTACTATAAGAAACAAAAATTTTAGATGCACAAAAAATCATAATTTTTATTGCAATTCGCACTTTAGTTTCTTGTAGTACAAAACTTAGTGGAGAGTTTACTGTTAGCATTATCGTTACTTTTCATATCCAGAAAATACCATCACTTCTTCATAATTCAAAGACATATCAAGCTGTGATATAGATAAACTGTTCGGCAAAGATTCAAGGAAAAGAAATTAAATAGAAGTGCCAAACTCACTTTTCCATTCAGTGAAGAAAGAAAGACATATTATACTGATTAACCCATTAAATAAAAGTTACTGTGACAATTGTGATCTTCTTCAGAGTTTGAAATGAAAGAATTATATTATTTTCATTATATGCAAATGGGTTATAACAATTTATCCGTCTACATAAATACGACTATTAACCCTTATTTTGATGTGTTAAACCATTTTAACTTATCTGAAAGAGTTATCTTAAATTTTGAATTTTGATAAATTAAAATTGATTAACTCATTTTATTCTGTGCGTGAAATTTTATTTTGGTATGTTGGGGATAAGTTTCAAGTTTCATTATCTCTCACTTAACTCGTGGTCCCTTTAAATATTTTAAAATTAGTCCTTCCAGCTATCAGCTGGTTGAAAGATTTAGATGGCTATTTTCAAAACATTTAAAAAGATTTGGCGACTTATTTCAAAAAATAAAGATTCGTGGGACTAATTTCAAAACTCTAGAAGATTTGGGGGCCAATTTTCAGAATATTAATAGGGGAGTAATTTCGAAGCATGAAAGATGTCGAAAGCCCCCCTGTTTGCGGCCGAATAATAGCAGAAACCGACAAACATGCCCGTTGGCCCATTTGATCTTTTGGAACCAGTTTTATAGGCCATGCTCCTAAAATGGGCCTATGTATTGGGCCTAAGCCACATTCACGATTGGCAATTTGCCCACCACACCGAGGGGTCTCCTAACAATGGAAAAACAAAGCGAGGGGTTCACTGAAATTTACCCTCTCAGGCTCTTCCCACTCCAGAGCTCCGACTCTCGGCTCACCTGTTCAAGAACAGAGGGACTAAAAATACACTAGATCCGATCCAAAGCCATTAACGCTACCTCTCCAAAACCCTAGAATGCGAGAGCCGACGAGATCGCTCTCCAACTGATCTCGCTCATCTCCAATGGCCAAGCCGAAGAACCGCCTGCTGCTCCTCCTCCTCGTCGTCCTCTCCATCTCGACGGCGGCGGTCTTCTTCATCCGTAGCGCTTTAGATTCCTGCGAGTCGCGTCGCGATGGACAGGCGGCGGACGCCGCGGCCCCGGAGAAGGATCCGCTAGGTTTCATGAGATCCAAGCGCGTTCTTCTCGTCTCTCACGAGCTCTCTCTTTCAGGTTGAACTAGGTCTGAATTTTTTATATATAATAAACTCATTCTTCAGTTCGAGCTTTGATCTCTGTGGTAATTACTATAAAATTTGTCAGTTTAATTAATATCTGCTGGTTTCTATATGCATTTCTCTCCTTCAAAACGCATAAAACTTTAGATTGCTCGAGTTAAGGATAAAGTAATACGACTCAAATCCATAAAAAGTGAACTCCATTTCATGTAGCAGCAAACATACTGGATTTATCTTGCTCTTCAGAAAGTTTGACTGCTCACATACATTAGTATAGTGCACGCCATCTTCCAGCATAAAATCTATGTAGCTTGATGCAGGGGCAGAGCCACGTTGTCCGAGCTGAGATTTTCAGGACTCCTTGTAATCAATACACCAAGGAATAATTATTATGCAACAAGAACTTTGTTTATGTTTAGCAATCCAAAAACTTCTTTAATCTACAGGGAACCATATGGTTATTTCGAGGTTTTCCCGAATAATATCAAATTGAAATGGTAGATTGAAGTGACTTTGTTTTCAAAGAAGACTGGACAAAAAAGCTTGTATCTAAAAAACCAATAATTTTAAAAGCGTAGATATTTGTTTAATTATTGTTTACTTATCAATCATTTGAAGATAACGTATGCTGCAATAATACATGAAAAACACTTCTAGAATAATGTTCTCATATATCCTTCTTTTTAGTAATTGCCTTTTTCAGTGAAAAGTTGAAATCATGTATTTTTAGTATTTTTCATATTAATGGAATTGCTACTAATGTTTTGTGCCTGACCTGGTTGAATATTTTGTCTCCACCTCTGGCTTGATGCCTGCAGACATACTGGTTAAGAAGCTTTCATTAATGCCAATGATTAACTAATTATGCAGGTGGACCATTGCTTTTGATGGAGCTGGCATTTCTTTTAAGAGGTGCTGGTGCAGAAGTAGTGTGGATTACTAACCAAAAATCAGTTGAAATTAATGAAGTTACTTACAGTTTGGAGCATAAGATGTTGAATCAGGGTGTGCAGGTAAATTTTCATTATACTAACAATGATGTACAATTGGTAGTTACTTTTAGCGATGAGCATATTTTACATGATGTTTTTATATCTCGTCATGACTCTTTCACCTTTCTCCTTAATCCTTGGATTTTCAGTTAGATGTTTATCTCAATAGCAAAGGCAGTGCGGTCATTTATTTGGATAGGTGTATTATGTCTCTTCAAATTTTCTTTTTTATAATGAAGCTTGTAAAGACACTGCCAGATTGATGGTCTCTCAGTGCTCTTTTTACATTTTTGAGCTCCCCCTCACACAAAGCCATGGAGCCTTGACTGTTTTAATTGCCAGTGTCTTCATTCCTTGGCATCCATGTACTGGTGGGTTAGCATGAGCAATGCTAGTTGTTCCCTACGTCATGGCATAATTTGATAATTAGTTTGTATTTGGGTCTTAAATTGACTTTTGCTTACTAGTTTATTTTTCTGCAGTTTTGATTCTGATATGGTCTTTTTATTGTAAGAAAAATATGGGAACCTAACCAACTATGCAAATCAGATCACTCTAGAAAATTTTCAATCCCACTCTTTAGTCTATAGACTATACATCCTTTCGACGTTTTGAATGCCACAATGACCTCACCTCGAGCTGTTCTCTTACCTCAATCTTCCAACATATCCATTCATCCGCATGGTAGCAGCAAGATGTTCCCATTTTTACTCGTTGTTCTTACTTCTTATAGCTTGTCTTTTGGCAGCAAATTTATTGTAAGAACAACCAATTTAATACTGACATAAAAAAGAGAAACTAAGAAAACGAACATGAGAAATCTATTACTTTATTCTGCTTCCAGGCTCAAGATATAAGTGTAAGTGTCCATCAGTCATCCAAAGATAATAACTAGAAAGGAAGTAGCTCGCATCATGAGTATCCCAGGCTTCTTTTTCAGGATTGGTACATTTAAATTGCTGTACCATGTTAGAACAGTACAGTGGAAATAGCCAGATTTCATCAGACAGAAAAAGTTTGGCATGTTGAGAAACAAAACTATGAAATGGATTCAATTAGTTGTATATGTAACTTACCGTAGACTTTAATGGGTTTAGTAGTAAGTGGTTAGGGAGCTAGTGTCACTGTGTGGTAATAAGTAGGGTTAGTGGTGTGCAAGTGTATACACCTTTGTTGGTGGTAGTGGTAAATTAACACAAGTCTAAAGTTTAATCTCTTATTCGTCTAAAATAAAATTTGAGGAACTACTCAAACTAGTAAACCTCACAAATAGAATTAATTAATGTCTTAATGAGATGATAAGTATATATGGCTTTGTAGTAGTTGTTGTATATAAGTGTATATGGTGAAATTTTACATAATGGCAAACCCAAGCCTAGTTGCAATCATGGTCAGTTATGTGAACTAGTAAAGCAATACAGATAGAAGCATTATTATCTTAACTCAATGTTATGTAACTTTGATTATTATAGCCCATGCAAGAGATTTGGTAATCCCATGCAGGAGATTTTCTTTCTAAAATAGATGAAGTATTGAGGTTAAAACTTCACTAAATGGAAATTGCAGTTCCAAAAATTTGTATTGAAAATTAGACTTGATCTTTTTTCATCCTGCTGTTTAAGCCTGTGCAACCCCAACAGGAACACTATCAGATTTACTTAGTACAAACAAATCGACGAAAAAATTGCAAAAAGCACAACCATCTGAACCTATAGACTGTATAAGAATTTAAACAAAGACTAAGACACCAAATGGAAGTTTGTCCTCTTAGGCAGAAAATAAATAATCGTCTTTGTAGTTTGTAGTTTAGTAGCTCCTAAGGGCTTTGCAATTGGAGGTGTTTAAGGCTTATTCATTCTAGTGTGAACTCACAATATAAAACAACCACACAACATAACGAAGAAATTTCTGAAAGAAATTCACCTACACTTTGTGATGCGAAACAAGGGAGGGGGTCTATCAGAATCAGCGATCTAATTTGAACAAAGCACCGTTTCGCCAAAAATCATTTTATTCGGTAGGAAATTAATTAAAGCAGTTAATATGACAGATGGATTTTAACAAGATTTGCAATGATAGTCATAAACAATCCCAATCTCGAATAATTTAATTACAATATTCATTATCATTGCACAAGTTTTACAATCAATATCAAGTTTTAACAATCACATGTTCAGTTTCTCTCAACTCACAATTAGACTTTAAGCAGTGAATATATGATAAGCGTTTAGAGATGTATTATTCATGCAATTAACTAACAAAATAAAATCAACAAAAAAATAAGGGACGAAAAAAAGCGAAACCTTCGTTGGTCTGAACAGACTCGACGTGAGAGACCTCTGGAGGTGGGGCGACGACAACGGTGAACTGAACGACGACGACGAGGTGGAGATCTGACGACGACGAGTGCGATAGTGTTGAACTGATAACGACGTGGTGACGAATCTGAACGATGAAGGTAGCGGCGATTCTGAGCACCGACTAGAGTGACGGCGTCGGCAAGGTTGACGGGACGATAGCGATGTGATGATTTGTGATAAGCGACTGTGGCAGTGGTAGTATTGCTCTGGTGGGAAATTTTGCTAAACAGTTGGTGTACATGAAGACAGCAGTTGCTAGGAAAGGAGGCTCGGTGACAGAGGGAGTAGGACGACTGCTTGGGAGGAGATGATGGCGCTGGTGGTGCGGAGGTGGAGATCGGGGGCGAGCTGAGTGTGGATCTGGTGGTTGCAGGGAAGAGGAGGGTTTGACTGATTGTTGACATGGGGAAGACGAGGGAATGCTTGGCGACTGGAGGAAGAGGACACAGGGAACGACCTAGGGTTTCACACCCGAGGCCTAGGTTTCACACCCAAAGCTTCACACCAGATTTTAGCTAATGTAATTTTTCATTCAATAATTCATTGATTTTCAATAGTCTCATACAACATTATTTATAAAAAAAAAACTACGTGCACACAACGTGTAATAAAAATAGAAACAAACAACAATCCCTCAAATCACTTAACTAAAATTAAACTAAATTTCAAATTTCAAATTTCAAATTTTAAATTTTAAAATTCAAATTTTAAATTTTAAATTTTAGATTTCAAAATTCAAAATTTAAAAATATATCAACTAATCAAATATTGCCATTTCTTGTCCTCATTATTCTCCCCGGGTGGGAGAAAACTCGACTCCGTCGAGTTAGCTGCAGAAACTTGACATCTTCAATATACTCTGTCTGTATTTTAATCTGCTGTCAGTTATTTCTTTGCATCTCAAATTATTAGCTAGATTGCATTGTAAATTCACCATCTAAAATATTATCAAAATTCACTGCTGTATGGATGAATATATAGAAATGGAGTAAAGTGAAAGAACTCTCATAAATAATAGGTTAGGATCAGGCTTATATCAGTGGATTGCCAATAACATTGTGAACTGTTTAATCACTCAATATTGAAAATAGAACCATGACCAAATCGATAATATAAATGTTGCTATTAATTAGTTCAAGAGTTGAAAAAACTCATAAATATCATGTCAAATCTTAAACAGCTATAAAGAAACTGTTTTGGACAAGTCCAAACCATCTAAAATATCAGCATCAATAGTTTTAAATTAGGTCCTGACTCCATATCATTCATTTCAGTTAACAATGTATTTATTCAAGTTAGATCATTGATTCCCCAATATATGATCAATGCAAATCAAAATAAAATGATGCAATCAACTCGAATGACTATGTATGAAATGCAGACTCGAAAAATACGGTCAATGGTAGATGTAACTCAACGAAGTATCTAACATGCATGACGTCTTCTATCAAATAGAATAATTAGGTGCTCTTTTGTTAAAATACATAAAAAGTTTCTAGTCCTAACAGTGATAGTGAGGAACATACAAGCAAATATATGACGGAGGAGTGTTTTTGTGTGTTTAACATGAAAGAGAACGAAAACACTCGCGTTCAAACTTATATTCCTAATCACTATATATTCCCAAAATGGATCAGTGTATGTGTGAGTGATTGTTGGGACAATGCATGGTGGTGGGATATCTAGTATGGTAGTTATTTCATTATGCTTAGTTTGGTATTCGACTTTCATACAGATGTTTGAGTGAATTGATTCAAGAGCCAAATCAGGAACGTGTTGGGCGTCATGTTTCTCCGGAAGGACTTCGTGGGAAATATCAACAACGTTTTCAATCACTGGAGTTGGTTCAGAAAGAGTTAGAATTTTAATTTCAAGAACAACTTCAGGGATAACATCAGTGGACTCCGTGATCAAAGATGTAGCTTAGGAAAGAACCGGAGTTTTGTCATTGCATGAAATTTCAATTAACTCCACAATTGCAGGGGTAGTTTCAGAAAGTTTTGTCATTGCATGAAATTTCAATTAACTCCACAATTGCAGGGGTAGTTTCAGAAGAAATGAAAGTGCATGAATTTTCAATTTTACTATTCAATTAACTCCACAATTGCAGGGGTAGTTTCAGAAGAAATGAAAGTGCATGAATTTTCAATTTTACTATTCTGGAATTCCTTTGCAGAGTTAATTTATATCAAATCTACGGTCTGATTAACGGTTTTCTCAAGAATAGATTTTGATTCTGTCATATGCAGCTTATTAATTTTAACCGACGGAAGGTATTCCTTTTTTAGTTCGTCAGCCATTTCTTGCCAAGTTAAAATTGGTAACTCACCACTAACATACCTTAATGTTTCGAATTTGGATCAATATTAGCAGGCTGGTCCGGTGAGTTTCATTGCTGCAAACTTGACTTTTCGTGGTTCCATCATGACATACCAGTCAAAGTATCCATCCATGTTCTTCAGCCAATTCAAGAAAGTTTATGGGCTGAGCTTACCGTCAAAGGTTGGTGGATCAGACACTGGTTGAGGTGGGGGTCGATGAACGACGTACCCATGACCTTGCGGTGGGTATTCATAGCCTTGACTTTGTGGCGACGGAGTTGCAACACACGCTCTTTCAAGCCTAGTAAACCTTTCGTTGGTTTCATTCTGGAAATTTGTTAAGCTCTGGGCTACGACACCTATTTGTCTTTTTACCTCATCGAATTTCTTAAGGAATTCAGAAGACATGCTGGACTCACTAACTGATTGACTTGACTCACCTAAGATAGATCTGTGCAATTAGGCATGCACTAACAATTAACTGGGATGAGTGTGATGCACTGAGAGCATAAAAATTTTCTAACCTAGAACCATGCTCTGATACCAAAAATGATGCGAAACAGGGGAGGAGGTCTATCAGAATCAGCGATCTAATTTGAACAAAGCACCGTTTCGCCAAAAATCATTTTATTCGGTAGGAAATTAATTAAAGCAGTTAATACGTCAGATGGATTTTAACAAGATTTGCAATGATAGTCATAAACAATCCCAATCTCGAATAATTTAATTGCAATATTCATTATCATTGCACAAGTTTTACAATCAATATCAAGTTTTAACAATCTCATGTTCAGTTTCTCTCAACTCACAGTTATACTTTAAACAGTCAATATATGATAAGAGTTTAGAGATGTATTATTCATGCAATTAACTAACAAAATAAAATCAACAGAAAAATAAAGGACGAAAGAAAGCGAAACCTTCGTCGGTCTGAACAGACTCGACGTGAGAGACCTCTGGAGGTGGGGCGACGACAACGGTGAACTGAACGATGACAACGAGGCGGAGATCTGACGACGACGAGTGCGACAATGTTGAACTGATAACAACGTGGTGATGAATCTGAGCGATGAAGGTGGCGGCGATTCTGAGCACCGACTAGAGTGACGGCGTCGGCAAGGTTGACGGGACGATAGCGATGTGATGATTTGTGATAAGCGACTGTGGCAGTGGTAGTATTGCTCTGGTGGGGAATTTTGCTAAACAGTTGGTGTACATGAAGGCAGCAGTTGTTGGGAAAGGAGGCTCGGTGACAGAGAGAGTAGGACGACTGCTTGGGAGGAGATGATGGCGCTGGTGGTGCGGATGTGGAGATCGGGGGCGAGCTGAGTGTGGATCTGGTGGTTGCAGGGAAGAGGAGGGTTTGACTGATTGTTGACATGGGGAAGACGAGGGAATGCTTAGCGACTGGAGGAAGAGGACACAGGGAACGACCTAGGGTTTCACACCCGAGGCCTAGGTTTCACACCCAAGGCTTCACACCAGATTTTAGCTAATGCAATTTTTCATTCAATAATTCATTGATTTTCAATAGTCTCATACAATATTATTTATAAAAAAAAACTACGTGCACACAACGTGCAATAAAAATAGAAATAAACAACAATCCCTCAAATCACTCAACTAAAATTAAACTAAATTTCAAATTGCAAAATTTAAATTTTAAATTTCAAATTTCAAATTTTAGATTTTAAAATTCAAAATTTAAAAATATATCAACTAATTAAATATTACCATTTCTTGTCCTCGTTACTTTGTGTCACTTGAAGGTATCTAATTTCTGGAAGCCAAAGTTTTAAATATCGGCCGATAAATCAATATTATCGGCGATTTATCGGTTTTGGGGCCCTTTTGCTATGATGAGTTCAAATTTTAATTGGTTATCGTTTTAGGGTAATTATCCGCGATAAAGCGGCGATAAGCCGATAAATCGACCGAGTTCAGCGAAAAAATTATTAGAATTATTGCTTAATAATTTTAAACATGTGTATTTACATTTGGTTAGTGATCTTAAACATGTGCATTTACATTTTGGTATGTTTATATTTCATTAAGTTTCTACGGTTGGTTAGTTTATCTTGTTATATTCTTGTATGCTATTCAAGATTATATTTTAGGACATTATATTTATGCATGCACACCCTTCGATATGACACTCTGATAAATACTTCTTATTCCTGATATATCCCCAATTTCCGCTATCGGATATGGATTTTGACCATCCAATAACTCCCCGATAAACGATATTTAAAACCTTGCTATAACCACATGAAAGAGTTTCTAAACATGTGGTTATGATTGACAAAATGATGCTTTAATCTTGAGGTCATTCTTTTTCCCTTCAAATTGAGGTGAACTGTGGTCCTATAAGGATTCTATCTAAAAAATTCATTATTTCATTACTTGCACAACAATTTCCCTTACATTTTACAAGGATGTCTCATGGCGCTTTTATGTATGAAACCTAAATGCTTTGTCTTGATGTAAATTTTTACTTTTACCTTAAACAATGCTAACACTTAGATATTTTCCGCCCGTAAGGCCATAACCTTGCAGAATCAGAAGCTTAAGCACATTGAAGACCTGAGTTTGGAGGGTTCTCATTTTAGGGTATAGGGTGAGAGGGCATTGAAGATATGGATGGAGGGATATCAAGATGGTCCCATTTCCTTTGGGCTTGCGTGGGGCGAAAGAAAATGATGTAGTAGGGAAAATGCTGATTGAAAATGATGTAGTGGAAAGACATAACAATTTAGCATTGTACTTCACTTCTTTACTGACGGGTATCTAACTTTCTAAAGTTATGGGTTTCTCTTAGTGAACATTTTATATAATATCTGTGCAGAATAAATGTTGCCTTCATTGGAGGATAATGACAGAGAGTCTAAAATATAAACTATTAGTTGACTAAATGATGGACATATTGAAGACAGTGATAGCCAGAATTGTTCAAATTTTGCTTCCAAGATAGTTTCTTGGTGCTGTTTCTGCAGAATGTGAAGCCTCGGATTAAATGAGAAGGAATTTCAAATATCTATATTCAATGATAATGACTGAACTTGTGTCTCTTCTATTTTCGTTTAATACTATTAGTTTTTTAACCGTGTATCACGCCACAAATCTAGTAGTTCCAAAAGTGTCATCCATGCACTAAATCACATCTCAAGAGGACTATTTGAACTAGTCAATCTAGTGTTCTATGTGCTTCAAATTTGGTACATCCAGCTCTAGTGCTGGGTGTCTTTCCTTCTTTTGATTGTTGTTTTTGGGGGTGGGGTTGGAGTTAAGGTATGAGAAAGCTGACATACTTTACTGTGTGGAAGCTGTTGATTTGTTTTATTGACTTTGAATCTTCTTCTGAACCTTTTGACTATTTGGATAGAGGCTGTGACATAATGCAGTCTTCTGTATAGCCACATCTGGGGTTGATTTATTTCTCCCTAGAGGATGGATCTCTCTGGAATATTCGTAACATCTGTCTACTTGAGCATGCTTTATCAATGGTATTTTGCAATTTCTAGTTTTGTCAGGCTTGATGTTTTCCAGTATTTCTTCTATTTGAGTTTCATGACATGTTCTTCCTATTCTGGCAGGTCCTTTCTGCGAAGGGCCAAGAAGCAATCGATGCTTCTCTTAAAGCGGATTTGGTTGTTTTAAACACCGCTGTTGCTGGAAAGTGGCTTGACCCTGTTCTAAAAGAACATGTACCTCAAGTTCTTCCGAAGATTCTGTGGTGGATTCATGAAATGAGAGGTCATTACTTCAAATTGGAATATGTCAAGCATCTTCCTTTTGTTGCAGGTGCCATGATTGACTCCCATACAACAGCTGAATACTGGAAGAATAGGACACGTGAGCGTTTAGGGTAGGTCATACATACAATGTTTCTTCATTAGAACTTTCAGTATTCTAATCCTTTCTGTCTCTTATACACACCTAGTTCCTTCAAGGTGTTAAGATCATATGTCGTTTAAAAGAGAGACCTCTCGGACCTGATCAACTGATTTGGGTGCGTCATGAATCATGATGTACCATGCGCTACCCTTAGCTGTTGATTTTTGTGCAATTCCTTTTTAAGTGTCGTCCTGTTTGTCACTTACTGTTAGTCAGAAAGGCAATATATAGATTAAAACCACCAACAGCTACTACTTCTTGTTCTCCTCCTTGTTTCTCATCTTCTTGTTGTTCTTTCTTGAATTAACCATGTGGTCTTGTCTCTGTAATATATACATATATTTGTATCATGGTATGCAGATAGGTAACTGACAGAGGAGCATATTTGACAATTGCAATTTTGATATTTGTCTTTTAATTGAAAAAGAAAAAAATATTCTCGCTTCTCCATATGCAGTTCAATTACATTGACACGTTTGTCATCCTTTTTTTATCTATTGATGCTTTTATCTTGCGATTTAGGATACAATTTATTCATCTTTTCTGTTCCTTCATTTCATTTGTACATCATTCTCCTTGTCTTACTTTTTGGTTTGTCATGCAGTATCAAAATGCCACAGACATATGTTGTTCACTTAGGAAATAGCAAAGAACTGATGGAAGTTGCTGAAGATAGTGTAGCCAGAAGGGTTCTTAGAGAGCATATACGTGAGTCTCTTGGAGTGCGAAATGAAGACCTCCTATTCGCTATTATAAACAGTAAGCCTCTGCTCATGAGATGACTTTATTGTCCAATGCTGTGGTTTCTAGACTGGTTGTTGTTACCTTTCAGTTTGATTCATGCTGACCATGCTTCTTATTGAATTTGTTTAACGTATTACCCTCTGCCATTTGATCCAGGGCTGGAGTAAGCACCTATTTATAGCTCTTCCTCCAGCCTGAAATTTCTGGCTTTATCGATTATTAAAGAACTTGATCTTAATGATATTTATGGAAAGACACTATTTTTTTATGTAGAAGTATTGATGCAAACTTGAAAATGTTGCAGGTGTTTCACGTGGTAAAGGACAGGACTTGTTTCTTCATGCATTTCATGAAAGTCTGCAGCTCATCCAAGATCAGAAGCTTCAAGTTCCATCCATTCATGCCGTGGTAGTTGGGAGTGATGTGAATGCTCAGACCAAGTTTGAGATGGAACTTCGTTCTTTTGTGTCAAATAAAGGAATACAAGGTCATGTTCACTTTGTCAATAAGACACTTACAGTGGCTCCATACTTGGCTGCAATTGATGTGCTTGTTCAGAATTCTCAGGTATATATTATGCATGTCTCAGTCAATTTCATCATTCTTGTCTCGTCGTTCATTTCCCCTTGAGAGGCTCATTAGTTGTTTCCCTTTCTGTTACTAGAGCTGTGGACCTTTCTTTTTTGATTTCGGAAAAGTATAATTTGGGCAGTCTGATGATTTTCAGTGCCAATTGAACATTGCAGTACATTGGAAGTGTTAGTTGTTGAATGTTGAGTGTCTTATTTCTAGTGCAAATATTTGTACAATCTAGGCCACTAGAACCAAACCTTATATCTTGTTGTTGCATTAGTGTTGACCATGTCTTAACCTTGAAGGTTAATGGAATAGTCTCAAATAATTTCTACTTAGCAGAGAACACCATGAAGTCTCCTTTTCAATACAGTAATTATGTGATCAAAACATCTTGAATCCCTCAATATACCAAAGATATGTGCAACTGTTTTCTGGTACAGGATTACTGTACGTTATGGTTATATTTATGGCATGAATGTTCTTGTTATGGAATAAACACAGAAACCGAGACCAGATCACATAGAAACAGTGGAAAAAGCAAACAATGATTTGACGTTATTCGGTGCAAGTGCTATGCCCACAGACACAGTAAGTGATTGTTACACTAAATAGGACTGAGACATCCCCACAAGTCTGTTCCAAGTGGACATCTTACTAGGTTATAATTCATATATGATTTAGGATCTCTTATTTGGGACAATATATGTAACATGAAAAGTGACGCACAAACTGGGGATAATGACTGATAGATTAGGACCAGGGACATCCCATCAATTCTGTTCCAAGTGGACATCTTACTAGGTCATATATGATTTAGGATCTCTTATCTGGGAAAACATATTTAACATGTAAGACTTGAGATTGCCATGTAAGGCTGTATCTGCATATGTCTGTTTTGCTGTGTCAAAAGTCCACGTAAGACTTGAGCTTGCCTGCTGACATCCTATGATTGCATGGCCAAAATCCTGCAAGACCTTTCTATGTTAAATAAGATATTCAATACAGAATATTGTCACATGCAGTTTTCCACTTTAAGATATGGGATTGGAACATTCCATTGTACCTGTCTGTCAGCTACAGAATGCCACCCTACACCTTTGGTGGCTTTCTGATACTTCTTGCTTTCCAATTTTAAATCCATATTCTCATTGCAATTTAATATCTACTGAACATTATCCTGCTTTCTTAAGAGAGACATCATATAAAGCAGATGCATTTAGTACTCTTTCGCTGATGAGAGTGCTGTGATATAGTATATCTTCTCAGGCATTATTATTGATTAAAAAGCTGTAAGTTCTATTTAAGAAACTGAACTGTAGGCTACACTGAGTTATCACCATTTTCGTATTCCTTAATTTAATGCTATGATCAATCAAAGTCCGTATTATGAGTTTATTTTGCTTAGGAGAACTGCAATGATTTGAAAAAGAGCAGGTTGTAATCTCAGTATACATATTGTTGGTCACACCTCTGAAAAGTTTACATAATTTACTTCATCTCAAAGACTATGGAGGTTTTTTTAATTACAGTGCTGTTCTGGAAGCAATTAAATCTATAACTGATGAAGTTAAAGATGAAGTGTCAAAAACCAGAAGCAGAATACACTTTTCGGACACTCTTTCAGAGGTTCCTTGAATCACACTTTTCTGTTAGTGTTAGTTAATTCAGATAATACACATAATAATGAAATCAAATAGTAATTATGCGGACTTGTACTTCAGGATAATAAAGGAATCAAAGTCCGTTCTCTTCTTTTTTAGCTGTTAGAATTTCTCTAATTGAACTTGTAGTTGAGGTCCTTCAGGATACAGAAGAAAATGCGTTAAATTCTAAACCTGGCCTTCCTTCTTCGTGTAGGCCCGCGGAGAGTGCTTTGGAAGGATAACAATTGAAGCAATGGCATTTCAGCTACCGGTATTGGTAAGTCTGTTAATAACGTATTGTTGACCCATACTAATTTAAGCTGGCTATTTTATTTCATGCAGCTCAAAATTTATTTATTTTATTTATTTGTTGTTGATCTCCATATGATAGACACTGGTGATAGTCAACTCTAGTTATGAAATCAAACACGCCACAAGTACGTGCAGGGCCGTACCTAGGAATTTTGGGGCCCAAGGCGAAATATTAGATGAGGCCTAAGTGATACAACTCATCAGGGCCGTACCTAGGAATTTTGGGGCCCAAGGCGAAATATTAGATGAGGCCTAAGTGATACAACTCATAATAGATTTTATCAATATTAGATGAGGCCTAAGTGATACAACTCATAATAGATTTTATCTCATTCTTCTTACCTTTTGAGTTACAAAATTACTAATTAAAGTTTTATATTCAATATTTTCTAACATGTTATTTTCGATAGATAATATTGCTAAACCATTTAATCTATCTTGTAACATGGTCGATCTTAAATAAGATTTTAGTAATTTTAATTTTGAAAAACTTCTTTCAGCGGAAGCAACTGTTACGGGTATAGTCAATAATACACGATAAGCAATACAAGTATTTGGAAAAGAATCTAAACGTTTTATATAGTTCAACACTTCAATTGGACTATTAATCTCTACTTTTAAAATTTTCCTAAGCACTCTCAATTCTGAAAACAAATCAAGTCCATTAATATCTAAATGTTCATCATGCTTTAGTGCATTTTCGAGATTAAGACAATATGTTTTCAATTCAATATCATCTAAAGCTTTTAATTTTTTCAAATCAAACAAAAAACCAAAAAAAATTTCATACGTTTTAAATTGTTCAAACCTACTTTCAATTGAGCTAAGCGATTTATCAACTATGTATAAGAAATATTCAATACGAAAAGATTCTTCAGCGTTAAATGTTGTTTCATTACCAATATTTTTATCAAATTGTTTTTTTCTATGAATTTTACGTTTTTCACGAAATATAGGTTGTACGTCCATTTCATTAGCAAGTTCTTTAGTTGAATTCAAAGCAGACATAAAACCATTTTGTCTATAATTTTCTAAATATACAATAAGACCCTTTAATTGATCTATGGCAATATCAATATGCATATATTTAGATTGCAAGATTTTACTAACTGAATTAACAGCAAACAATATGTCATACCAAATATTTATAGCTAATAAGAATTCAAAATTTTTAATCTCATAAGTTGCTAAGCTATTAGCTTCACTTTTTATCATTGGATCTTCACTAATTTCTGCTAATTGAATCAAAGCATCTCTTATATTTGGAGCTTGAAATTTTATTGCTTTAACACTTTCAATCCGACTTTCCCATCTAGTTTGAGATAAAGATTTAACGGATAACTTGCATCCATTATCTTCTAAAATTTTCCATCGTTTAGTAGAGGAAGCAAACAATGAGTATATACGTTGCAACACTCCAAAAAAAGAAATAGCTCTAGGACATGAATTAGCTATATCACATAAGACTAAATTTAAATTATGACAACCACATGGTGTGTAGAATGCTCTAGGATTTATATCTAATAGCCTCATTTATACTCCATTGTGTTTTCCTTTCATATTAGATCCATTATCATAACCTTGCCCTCTTATTTCATTAACATCAAGTTCATAGTTTTTCAAAATATTTAAAAGTTCATCAAAAAGGCCTTTCCCCGAAGTATTATCTACTTTTAAAAACTCTAAAAAGTATTCTTCAATCTTTATTGGACTTGTTGAAGTATCAACACATCTTAAAATAAGAGTCATTTGTTCTTGATGATTTGCATCTGGAGTACAATCAAGGATAACTGAAAAATATTTTGCTTCTTTTATTTTTTTAATGATCATTTTTTTAATTTCAGAAGCTAGCAACTCTATTAGTTCATTTTGTATTTTATGACTAAGATAATGATTTTGAATTTCACCTTCTTGTATACGTTTAACATGTTCTTGCATTATGGGATCAAATTCTGCTATCATTTCAACTAAGCTTAAAAAGTTTCCATTATTTTTTTCATATATCTTTTCTTTTGTTCCTCGAAATGCAAGATTATTTTTTGATAGATGTTTTACTATAGCAATAAGTCTTAGCAAAACTTTTTTCCTGTGTTCTTTTTCTTTATTAATTTGTTCTTGAACGTTTTTATCTATTGTCTTTTTTTTTGTAATATTACTTCTAAATCCATCCATTTACACATATTAGTGATATGTTCATGACTTGTTTCATAATTTTTAATTTTATATCCAAGATTTTTCCAATCTCTAGTACCTTCGTTAACTATCTGACTTGTACTAGATTTTAAAGTAAATAATTTGCAACAAAAGCAATAAACTCTATCTAAATCTTTTGAGTAAACTAACCACCTTCTTTCATGTTTTTCTCCATTTGACAATTTTTTAATGTAATATGATGTAGAAAAGTGTCTATTATTTTCATCTTTAGGAAAATCTACTTCTTCATATTTAATTGGACCTTTTTTAACTATTAGATCTATAAAATTTTGATCAATATATTTCCATTGTCCAGGATCATAAATATTGATAAGAATTGAATTTGATACCTCATTCATCTCTAAATTTTTTTCTTGGCCCTCATGTGAATTTTGTTTATATTCTTCATTAAAATTAGGAGTACTAGCTTTTTCTTCTTGAATATTATTATCGTTAATATCATTAAGTACTAGCTTTTTCTTCTTGAATATTATTATCGTTAATATCATTATTTTGTCCTAAATTCTCAACATATTCTTCTAATTCATTCTCAAGTAAAGAATCTAAAGATTCATCACTAAAAATAAATTTATCAAGAGCTCCTTGTTGAGATCGAATTAATTTTTCAACTCTTTTTCTTTTTTTTTAATTTTTGGCAACCACTTTCATATTTTTTATTAGGCATGCTTTCAAAATATAAAACAACAAATAAAAAGGTTTCAATGTATATCTACAATATCTCTAATTAAGCATAAAAATAAATTAATATGAATAAATGATAAAGAATATGAAATAGCTTTAGTTAGAAAGATAGAACTGTGGGACTGTGAGTGTGGGACTGGGAGGCTGGCGGTCAGGCGGTGCCGCGGTGGGAGCGGAGCCTGGAGACTGGAGTGGGAGGCACGGAGTAGGGACCTGCAAGGGATGATGAAATGATGAATTAATTAGTTGGTGGAACCTGCAAGAAAAAATTGGATCTAGGAATGACTGAAACAATCAAAATGGGCTTTACCTCAAAAACCAAACACCACAGAGTCTGAGAGTCAGTACTCAGTAGGATTTAGGAATGACTGAAAGTGAAAGAGGACTAGAGGGAGGAGTAGCCTGTAGCCGAGCCGAGTAGGAAGATCTGAACTCTGAAGGCGAAGAAGAAGAGCTTCACGCTTGGGGGAGAGTCGGCTGGGACTAGGACTCTAGGAGCCGGAGTAGGAACTCGGAAGAGGAGTGGCGGATCAGCGGATGATCTTTGAGAATTGACTCAAATTCAATTGAGATTTGAGTCTGAGAGAGGAGGATGATGATGATCTTTGAGAACAATTGAGATTTGAGGAGAGCAGCGGTAGTGGGAGTCTGGGAGACCGGAGAAAAAGTAGGGTTAGGGTAACAGGGTTATGTATATATATTATATGGGTGGGTGGGCCTTAACCAACTGGAGGTCCAAGGCAGAGGCCTAAGTTGCCTTATGCTTGGGCCGGCCCTGAGTACGTGGCCAGTTATCTCAAGCCAGTTAGAAGAAGCATATGTCCATATCTGTATGGTCAAAATGTTGATTTATATCTTTACTTTTTAAATTCGAAACATGTTCACCTGTCTTCTAGAAAGTGAAAATTTTGGTGCAGGAATTGATTTTACTTGACATCAACTATAAGGTCTGTTTTTTTGTGATCATGCCATCTAATCATGATTTAACTTCTTGTCATAATGTAGGGTACAGCTGCTGGTGGCACGACTGAGATTGTTGTGGATGGAACGACAGGTCTTTTGCATCCTGCGGGAAAGGAGGGTGTCACCTTGCTTGCCAAGAACATTGTCAAACTTGCCACTCATGTGGAACAAAGGCAAACTATGGGAAGAAAAGGTTATGAAAGAGTGAAGGAGAGGTTCATGGAACACCATATGGCTGAAAGAATTGCATTGGTTCTAAAAGAAGTTATTCAGAAATCAAAGCGCCTCTCGCATTCTTAAGATGATTTTGTTGCTAATCCCTTCTAGAATTTTGTTAATACGCAATATTACTGGCTTCATCTCTGTGGATTAAAAGCAAGTTGAGACCTGAGTCATGTAAAATTAAGATTCCAAAATATGCTGCAAACATGATTTCTAGTGTACATTTGATTCATTGATAGTTTATACGCAAGTTTTAATTAGAATTGGCAATTTGTTTCCGGAAAGTAAAAAATATATGCAAGTAAAAGTGTTAGTTCATCTCCTTTTGCATGCATTGCCAACTTTCTTTTTACGTCAGATGCATATGCCTGCGTAAGTTTGGCAATAAGAATGGAAATTTATTGCATATAGCAGACAGGCATTTGTCATTTGACCCTTCCTCAATTGGAACTCATTCATGCGTGGCCATTATGCTATGAAGGTGATGATATCCTAATTCCTTGATTTAATTGTTAGGTTAAGGTACTGTTTGGCAATCAAAAAAAGTGTCTTATCTAAGAGCTTGTGTCTTATTGACTTGGTTAATAAGCTAGTAGAGCTGTTTGGTGACAAAAAATAAGAGGAGATTATTTTAGAGATTGTGTCTTTTGCAAGTAGCTTTTAAAAAGCTACCTCAAGTAGCGTTTGTCTTTGGGAAGGAGCTGCTAATTTTTGTCTTCTGTTTTTTCCCCTAATAATTCTAATTTTATATCAATAATATTGCATGTCTTTTTTAGTCATTTAACAAACTTAAGCTAGTTGTACAGCTACTTTTGCCAAACAGTTCTAGTCAATCAGCTAGCTACACAGCTAACAGCTTTCAGCTACAATTTCACAGCTTTCAGCTAGCTTAACAGCTATCAGCTATAATCTCGCAGCTTTCAGCTAGTTTTGCCAAACAGAGCCTAAATGTCAGGAGACTTCTATAGGGAGGTGAGGTCTTTATCTGATTTCTTATATGCAGGATCTAAGTGATGAATCAGCAAAAGAGATCCTGTGAACAATCATGCTCCATAATTAACTTGTGGCTCTAAACATTTTATAGCAATGGTATCCACACTTTTTTTTCTGCTTTTTCAGATTTGGCTGTCTTTGTAGGAGGTGACAGAAGCAATAACAGCTCTAACAGTGGCCGGATTTTGTGTTCTCCTACTTCATCAGTGAGCTATTGACAAGGTCTCTGAGGAAATGTTTCTGCTGAAAAGCTACTACAGCTCCAATTCAGTCCGTGGCTGATGGAACTGAAAGCTGCTTCCTATGAGGCAATTTATGGCAAGAGTATGATTACATGCGCTGCGCCTCAAATACCAGGTCATTGGCTTCCCTCTTCTCCATGTCCTATTATGCTCTACCTTCACATGTTAGGTAATGGTGAAAAAGTGCATGGCGTCTATTACCCAAAACTAAGCTAAGCAAGAGCATGTGTTGACCGGACAATGTAGCTGCTAGTGGTGACGAGTTCATGAATTTGCTATGTTCCAGTAAAAAACATGTAAGCGTGACACTCCAATGAACTCATTGATTTCAGTTTGTGAGGATACTCAACACAGAAACAAAGATTGAAGCATTCCTGTTCTTGCAGGATGTAGTGCTGGAGGGGTAGCGAGCCTTAAGATAATATGGAACTCTTAGTACTTCACCACATTTCTTTGATAGCAACTTTGAAAATTGTCTTGGAGCTACAAATCGTTTACATTTGTGCATTTAAATTAGGATAGTGTTTCCGTAGATTTGCTGAGAAATGACTCCAGGACTTGGGAAACTAAAGATCTAGTTAGTCGGCTGGATATACAGGCAATTTACTTTGATTTCATCCTCTTGGCCAGCTTGTACCTTGCCATTCTGACTATCTTGTAGAACCAAAATGTGCTCACGAGTTGTAATCCCATAGCCATTATCTGACAATTCAGAAACAAACATATTTGGAAACCAGCTTGAGAAAATATGGAGGACTATGAAATTGTTTATAGCAGTACCTTTATAAGCAAAGGATTATCTGCCATCCAAGTCTCAAATGTCACATATGGACCAGCAATCATCCTTCCAAATGTGAATACTAAGGCAAATGAAATCTGCATCATTATGTGCAATATAATATCATCAGTTCTTTTTTTTTTTTCGATTGAGATCTCTTCATGGATTTACTGTCCGCCTCTATTGTTCTGCTCTCTGTGTCCTATATATCCTTAAAGAGAAATCCAAGGAGGTATTTATATCTTTGCATAAATATAGGTTTTCTATTTGCTGAATATTCTTGTGATTTTCATTTTTGATAGTCAAATTTGCTTATGATTTCTATAACCTGTGCTTAGTCTTAATAAATTTTCAGTTAACAGAAGAGAAAAAAGGGGAAAAGTGCTGAGCTTCTGTCTAACTGGGTTTACAGAGATGTGGTCATTTTTACCTTGAGGTGCTCAGATGTTCAAAATAAAATGCTTATTCAATACTACTTGATGAAATCAGTTAAGCCTGGGATTCTTGCAATATTCTTTCTGGNNTAATCTTGACGTCTATGTGTATGTCTTTTTCAAAAAAAGGTAATTTCACAATTCAAATATTAGAGACTTGTTCATCAGTAACATCAATAAATGTTTAATGCAGCATTCAGGTGAAGCTTTACCGAACACGAGGCAAGGGATTGGATTTGCTTGAGGTATGTATTATAACTATTTACTACTATCTTTCAGTTCATCTTTGACTTAAGGCTGCTATTATTTTTCCATTATGAACGAATTATGTAACATGAAATTCGTTGATGATCAAACTCAGTTTAAGTTTCTCCACAACTTACTGCAACCTTCAAGATATCACTCTTCAATTATGCTTTATTCTAAGTACTCAGGAAGTAAATAGATTTTGCTGAAACTCACATCGGCTACAAAATTAAGGTCAGTGTCACGATATCCAAGCTCTTTCAGGAGCTTCCTCACATGGAGCAGAGGGCTTGAGATCTCTGATACCCACAATGCTGCAACCAATTCTGACGCAGACTGCGAATAGAAACGAATGAATGAAAATTGAAACAATAGTAGTATGGTACAAGGTTAACTGCAGAATCAGAAAGGGGGGAAAACCCTTAATGCTCTCATGATATTCTTACCTTTTGATAGGCAAGTCCTGCTCCAATACCTACTATACTGATAGTATGATGAAATACATCTTCCAGGTTCACTTGCTTGTGGAAGAGGCAGCAAATTAGATCATATATTAGATATGAAAGTGTCACCACCAGTGTTTTCATCTACAAATATTACAGAAGAAAAAAAAAATGTTTTAGGATACTTCAAAGCCACAAACTAGTGAAGATTGATTGAAATACCTGCAGGGGTGAAGATTCTGATGCTTGAGGGCAAACAGGACAGCGCCAACCTTGAACAGACAGAGAAGCTAAACAAACAGCCAATGAAGCATGAATTGTTGAGACTAGGCGATTGCTGAAATCAAACGAGCGACGGGGAAATATTCTTCTGATAAGTAGAAAGGTTGCAGTCCAACATATTGTTGCAGAAATAATCCAATTCATTACAGAATCTCCCATTGGATGTTTCTTTTGAGCTCACTCGTAGCTCTCTAGTTCTTCTCCCAGAGGACGCTAGCTATTTGAGGGAGAGCATTTGAATTTTGTAGCACATGGGTATTAATTCTATTGAATGATTGCAGGGAAAGGCAGGGCATGGAGCCAGTATTTGAATGCCTCCTCAATAATGTCATGCAGTAGCTACTGTGTTCTATTTAATGTATATTAAGTACAGAATTTATTTCTTTCCTATTCGGTTCATCGAATTCAAATGAATGCCCTACTTTTTCTTATCTACTTCCTTGACTAATTAGACTACATGCTGTTTCAGGATAGTTAGCTGTGTTTGGTTTGAAGTAAAATGAGGGAAAGGAAGAGGAAAAGGAAAAGGAAAGAAAATGAAAAGAAAATGAAAGTGAAATGAGTTTTTTTCTTATGTTTGGTTACTAAAGAAAATTAAAAGCAAATCTGGAGGAAAATAAACAATGTTATTTTCTTTATTATTTGAGGGCATTGGAGCAAACTCATTGAGGGTATGTAAATGCAAAGTAGGGATAACTATAGTATGTGTCAATGCAAATAAGTCATCAATTTATTCATAAACCTACACTTCTATTGGAAAGGTTAGCTTGAAATAACTTATGAAAATCGAGGACTAAATAGCAATTTTAATGTTTCAGGGACTACTCTCGTAATAACTACAAATGTGGAGTAGCTAATAGAAAGATGGCTGAAGAAAACTTTCATGTGTGCGCACACGAACAAATTTTCACTGTAGCCCCATTTTTAATTTTTATTATCAAAATCGACCTCCCTCTGTTTTATTTACCAGAATCGACCCGGTTTCTCGTCACGTCAGCGCCGTGGCGAGAAAGCGGGTCGATTATTTTTTAATCGTCTTCGTAAACAGTCAGGGTTTGCCAACCCCGACTGTTTAGTTGATCCGTTGGCGAGGCGCTTAACTAATTGGTCGGGGTTCCTAACCCCGACCAATTAGCAGAGCCCAGCCCCGTTGGTTTTAACCAGTGCACGAATTGGTCGGGGTTGGGAACCCCGACCAATTCGAAGCCCATTTCCGCGTGCTTGGCCAAGGCAAAAAGTAGTCGGGTTTGGGAAACCCGACTACTTATTCTGGGCCCCCTCTCGTATAAAAGCCACCGAACCCTTTCTCCCTCATCCCATTTCGTTTCTCCGCCTCCCTCTTCTCTCTTACGTCCCTGTTCTCACGAAACCAAGCCTCAGATCTGAGGTTTCTTCGGCCGAAATTCAAATCAAAGGTTATCTAAACTTCTTTAGGTAATTTCTTCTACTCCTCTCCTCTTTTAACATGTAGAAATCTAGGATTTTTTCTTAAAAATAAATTTCTAGGGTTTTCATTCATAAATGAATTTTGTGGGTTTTATCGCTAAAATTCGTTTGTATGATGATTGTTATTAATGTAATTAACTTTTAGGGCATAGAATGTTCAATTGTTTAATTTTAGGGTTTAGGATTTACAATTTGGGAATTAGAGTTTTTGGTTGAAATTATATGAGATTATTTGCATATTAATTTAATTTTTTATATTTAAATGATATAATTTTCTTTTGAATAGGTTGATCAATATGATTTTTATTGCTTGTTCTTATGGTGGACAAATTAATTATGGGATGAATAATATGCCAATGTACGTCGGAGAGGTAACGACGCCATTAATGATCTCGGAATCATATAGTTACTACGACTTGGTTATGGAATTACACCGAGTTATGGAAATTGACCCACGAGAATACCGACTGAAAATTATATGCAATTGGCCCATAGCTATTGATAGAACATCTGCAGTGGAGATCTCAAACGATTATCATATGAGTATTATGTTTAAATTGGGCATGTCGCAACAAATGGTAGAATTGTTTATTGAAAAGTTACCACATAATTCGTGCCAAATATTCAAACCTCCAGGAGAATTCTCACGCATGTTAGATATGGGAGTTCATTCCGATGGGTTTCTTTCTTCTTCGAATGAAATGGAGCGTGATCAATTCGGTGGAACGTCAAATGTCATGAATAACGAAGTCTCTTATGAAAATATGGGGAGGTTAAATGGGGCAACAATTGAAGAGGATGAAATAAGCAATGACTCGGGAGGTGAAGAACAATATAGTGCACCAGTTGATAGCATGCAATTTGTTACCCAAGATGTCGAAGATAATCCGAAATGGCCTGATGAGGCTTACGTTAATAATGACTACGTTGAGTATGAACACCCCCCGACAAGTTTGAAGATGATGAGTGGATTCGTTCTTCCACAGTAAAAGATATGTGCATCGGTGAAAGTTTAATTCGTAGAGGAGATGATGACGCCCCCTTTAAAGTTGGTGATTTATTCGAGACTAAGGACCAGTTGGTTGATAATATTCGTGAATACTCTTTCGAAAAAAATTTCAAGTTCAAGCAAGTTAAAAGCAATCGCACAAGTTATGAATTCGTGAATACTCTTTCGAAAAAAATTTCAAGTTCAAGCAAGTTAAAAGCAATCGCACAAGTTATGATGCAATATGTTTTATGAACACACAAAGAACATGTCTGACCGAGGGAAATGAAGCTGATTACTCATGTCCTTGGAAGTTATATGCATTTACAGGAAAGAAACACAATTTTCAATTTAGGATCAGTGAATATTGTTGTGTTCACACATGTGTCAATCCAATATTAGAGCAAGATCACAGTGGTGCATCTGCCTCTTACATTGCGCGGTTGATTATGCCAAAATTAAGGAAGAAGCTTGATCTAACGCCCGATAATATAATTGAGAAAGTGCTTGATACCAAGTTCATTAAAATCTCGTATATTAAAGCATGGAATGCAAGGAGAATTGCGATGACAAAAATATTTGGTGATTGGGACAAGTCTTACGCGACACTACCTCAATATCTTGATGCGATCAAAAGAAGTAATCCTGGATCTGAATACAAACTCATAACCAAAGAGATCGATCCGGGAGTTCATCAATTCACCTCTGTTTTTTGGGTATTTGGGCCTTCGATTGAGGGGTTTAAATTTTTTCGGCCTATTCTTAGCATTGATGGCACACACTTATATGGTAAATACAAGGGTGTACTGCTTGTTGCTACAGGAGTTGATGCAGATGGTGGCTTATTTCCTTTGGCCTTCGCCGTTGTGGAGGTCGAGAACAGTGAAAATTGGGAGTGGTTTTTTTTCTTGCATTCAATTATATATTTTTAATGTGTTGCCTCCTAGAAAAATTACTTTCATATCTGATAGGATGAAAGGTATTCCAAAAGCATTGTGGAGGAGATTTGGCTCTCATCACCATCATCGCTATTGCTTACGACACATTAGAGCTAACTTCAAAAAGAGCTTTAGTCAGATTAATTTACAAAACCTTTTGTGGCAAGCGGGTTATACGTCGGAAACATATGTGTATGATCGGATACGGGATCAAATCAAGGCAACATCTCAAGCTGCACATGATTGGATTGAGAGAGGTCTGGGCAGTGATTACGTCGATCGGTGGGCACTCAGTAAAGATGGAGGGAATTGGTTCTGCATGATGACAACCAATTATTCTGAAAGCTTCAACAGGGTACTTAAGGGGGCTCGGGCAATGCCCATACAGGCGTTGGTTGCGAGGACATTTTATAGGCTCAATTACTATTTTGTCAAGCGGCGAGAGGATGGAGCAATGTGGGCCTTGTTCTTAACACCAAAAAATGAGGCGATTTTAGGAGCTCGAGTTAAGCAGGCAAGAGACACGAAAATTGTTAGATTTGCTGTAGATGAATGGGAGGTTACAGACAAACATGGTCACAATTACACCGTTAACTTGGGAGGTGCACATTGCACATGCACCTGTAACATACCAGAATTGCAAAAATTACCTTGTTCACATGTCATAGCGGTTACGTCCAAGCAATCGGGGGGTGCAAATATTTTGTACTACACATACGCTTTTGAGTGGTATCAATCAAGCAACTATAGAGAGGCATATAAGCAGTGTTTCCACCCCGTACATGATAGTCGTTATTGGCCACACTATAACGGGCCGCATGTGGTGTCTCCAAGCTATAAGAGACAAGCCGGACGCCCACGATCAGTACGCTTAAAAGGTACTATGGATGAAGGCCGGGAAGGAGCTCCGAAAAAAATAGATGTGGATATTACAGACAAGCCGGGCATAGAAGATCTCATTGCTCGACCAATCCAAATAGATAGCAATTAATGGGTACAATTTTATACATTTGTAATTTTATTCTAACTCATTTATAGATCAATGCTTATAAAAAACTCAAACAATGCTTATAAATCAATCCTTATAGTAAACTCAATTTTTTCTAACTCAATTATAGATCAATTAATGGATCATCGTTATATGTGCAGATATTTCAGTTATGGAGGCGGGTCCATTGACACATGATGTTCTTTATGACCAAGAGCGCCACCGATCCGCGAAGATAGACGCTGGGGAGGTAAAGTGCAGTTTTATTATTTTCAATTATATATAAATTTCAATGTAGTTGATTGTTATTGAACATTTGCACTGTTTACTACATGCAGGCCCCGAGTATTACTGTTGTCGATCATACCCGTGCACACTCTAGCTGGGAGTTAACGGATCCACAGATACAATATTATGTGCGTCAAGCCGGCTTTTTTGAGTGTTCACAACTTAAATGGGTAAGACTTGATTGGGCACTTTTGACGGCATTGGTTGAACGATGGAGGCCCGAGACAAATACTTTCCACCTGCGCCAAGGAGAGGCGACAATTACCTTGCAGGATGTTGGGGTTATACTTAGCCTCAGAGTAGATGGTGATGCAGTGACGGGCACCGATGACTTCCACTATGGCACTACGTGTGAAGAATTGTTGGGTCACTGTCCTACAATGAAGGGGGGAAAGATCAAACTCGAATGGTTAAGGAATAACTTTATGAATGTACCGATCGATGCGACTGATGAGATCATTAAGAGCTATGCCCGTGCATATATTTTACATATGATCGGTACTATTCTGTTTCCGGATTCCACTAAGGATTCTGTGCATGTGAGATGGTTACCGCTTCTTAGGGACTTATCGGAGTGTGGAGAGTTATCTTGGGGGAGTGTAGTGTTAGCCTACTTGTATAGGGAGATGACAAAAATAGCACTCGTACAAAACAAAGAATTGAAGGGCTGCCTCACTTTGCTGCATATATGGTCATGGGAGCGAT